GAGAACCCGGCGTGCTCCGTCCCGGCTTTGTAGGGATGCGAGGTCAATGGTCTAACGACTACGGCATGCACGACTATGAGTACACCCCCCCCCCTTCTTCGATTCGTGTGTGTAAGTAGACCCCATGATGCCACGAGCTTGCGACTGGTAATATCCCTTTCTGCTACTTGTCGTACCATGTCAGGGGTGGCATTGAAGACGAAAGCGTGCCATGCATGGCGGCGGAAGCTTTAGCTCACGTTCTCATCAGCCATGGCACTTGTCGACTTGCGTGGGCTGAACAGGGTAGTTTCCTGTCCCTCTTGGATCTCATGAGGTACGCACTCAACGAATATTATTGCGAACGGGATCGGAGAGGGTAGACGTCTGATCAAGTCGCTAATGGCTGTTTTTAACAGGAACACGTGTACCCCCTTCAACGCGAAAGTCTGAAGCAAACGAGTCGTCTTGTTCCATGAACCGTAGCAACGAAAAAAGTTGTATCTTGATTTGGGGGGGCTATTCTAACACCGTTAGCAAGCAACAGTGCCTGACTCGAGGGGATGAGCGTATTTTACCAGGGCCTACCCCGACCTTTTCAAAACTTCATACCTCCCCAACGCTGCCACTCGGTGGCGCATATACTCATCCCGTGCTATGTTGCTTTCCCTGAGTTTATGCCCCTCCTTGCCGACTCTCATTGTACTGTTCCGGCTTTTATTCTTAAAGGTCGCCCCTGAGTCGCGTGGTTCTCTGCTGCGTAAGTATTCTCAACTCGTTTCTTCGTGGCGAGCCTTCCCAGATCGCCGTGACCCCTGCTGAGGCAATAAAAGTACTCGAACAAGCTGCACCCGCTTGTCAACGATGCCTCGATCAGCTGGAGTCCAAAATGTTACCTATCGATCCTAAGTCAACGGCAGCAGCAACAGCAAGCGGGACGCGAGCTCTTGCTGGAGTTTGTCCACCACTGCACCAAAGGTAGGTTGGTGTGTTACATCGCCTTCTCGTCTGAACCCAACCGATGCCTGGTGTACTGCCGGAGTTCGTCATGACAATAGGATGTGGCCCTATCGGCAACAACATACAAGTCTACCGTTTTTGGTGAATGAGCGTCACTTTTGAAAGCGTCGTAGTCGACTCGGAGCGAATGCCTCACAAAGATTCCAGCCCAAAACCACTGAACAAGCATGGTACACACTGTTTTCCTTTCCCAGGCGTGATTTACGAAGTTCTTTCGCCATTAACTCCTTCCTTGCTACACCTTTCATATACCTCAAACGTCGTTTCGCACGACCGCAGTATGGATGCCGAAACCCAAGACTCTATGGGCATCCTAGAGCAGGCCACCGCTGCTTGCTGGGGCTCGTTGGCAGTTATTGACAGGTGCATCCAATTTTTGCGTACGATAGTACACGGCATAGCGTCTCTCCTGTTCGCCGTCACATAGTTACGTACAACGCATCCTGCCCAGCACCTCACTTTTGCTAGTTGCCTCGAACCACCTACAACTCGGTCGACCCCGTTGAATGCAGTAGCGTGTGCGTGCATGGAGAAACACCCAAGTACTTGTTGTAACCTTGAACCAAACCAATACAATCACACCCAACCGCGTTTTTTTCTTGTGGTTGAAGACATGCGTGTGGTTGAATTATCTCCGGCGCTGCACGATTTGGGTTCATCGTTGCCCGCCTAGGTTCACCCCATTTTCCCCCAAACCCCCATGTTGACGGTGCTACTGCACTACACAACCCCAGATGCCCACCAGGGCCTGAAAAGAAAGCGATCTCGTCTGCCTGCTGGTTCAGCACCATGCTCTCGGTGGCAAAACTTGCCGGTTCGAAATGGTTGTCTCCATGGGTGGTGTTTTGTGCGGTGGCGTGCATAGGCGTTGGGGTTGGGACAGGCGCGAGCGTGGACACGGACAGCAATAAGGAGGTGTGCAACTCGATTTCAACAACGTCGTTGTAGTATCTACATGAGTCCTCGCCTAGGGAGGAGGGTGAGAAGAGATACCTCCCAACCGACTTTTCGTGTGGTGTTTGGAATCTGGACACTTCGGAGTTATGGCAGACGTGAATATTTCATGTTCGGTAGTCGGATAAGGTAGTGGACTTTGGGAGTAGGCGGGAGAGGGACCGACATTAAGATTATCAGCCAGACCGAACGGGGTGCTTGGCGCATGAGCACCGCGCCATGTAGCCGAGAACGCGTGCAGCAAATCTTCAGGTATCGTCGGTAGTTGAGCAACAAATCTATAATAATAGGGCAAGCCTCAACGTCACCAATCAAAAGGCATGCACCTGAGACGCGTAAAGACGATTCATGATATGAAGTTAGTCCGTTGATCGCCAACCTTTCGTTGTCGCCAGATGGAAGCCCTCCCTGGGGAAATGCTGGCTCTACTCAAGAGGACCAACTCCCTAGAGGTGTGTGGCGATGGTTGTGAAGACGAAAACACGCCTGGTCGTTAAAACCCCAGTACGATCAAAGCGGTGATTTATCAAAGCTGCAGCCATATGCATACGCTCATAGCCACCGTGCCTTGAATTTGCGTGGTTCCGGCTTGATGGTCGCCGTAACCAAGACCGCGCGTCCTCTGCAACATAGCACACCTCGAGTGGGTAGGTAGTGGGTAAGTGCTGAGGGATGCATGGTCCATGACGAAATGAAAACTGTAAGAACGACGGACACCTATCCACGACCGCCATCATAAATCTTGACATCTTTGTATACATTGTGTTAGTGAGACACGAAGCAAGTCTATACCCCGCACCCCAGAGAGCCCCTTGCGAATACTCGAAGTGCCGCGTTCCGACTTCGCAGGGAGACAAGGGCCTGAGGTCTGAAACTGCTATGGTTGTGTATGATTCTTACTTCGCCCCCACCCCTTGTTGTTCGCCTCGCAATGAGCGCTCGGCCAACGATCCAATGAGGAAGGCAAGGAACGAGAAAACTCGTCCTCACCATCTCTCCGCGTTCTCCTCACCGCCTCCTATCACATCCCTCCTCTTCTGTCCCTCCATCCCTCCTTACCCCGAATGACCCTCGCAGTTACAGGAGCACGCGGCGCGCACCTTGTGCACTCTATTGTCTGCGAACGAGAACCTTCGTCGGAAAGCGTTCGAAGACGGCTTCCTCGATAAGCTGCAGGTAAAATCTCCACCTCGGGTGCTACAGATGATACCAATATCCACTCAGAAACACCTGAGCTGGCGTTGCAGGGTACTATGGAGTGCCGGTCGATGATTGCAGCTTTGAGCTGTGTATATGTTGAGATAAGGGAATCATGTTGCTACCGCCGAGAGGCACTCGTGTTCCCTCGCCTGGTCAATCTATCTCACTCGCTTGTACTCAACCCGCACTCGCCCTTGTTTTTGTCCACCTCCAGCGTCTCCTCATGAGGCGCCTCGGAAGCGCACAGTTCGACAGCACCATCGCGTGCAGTATTATGTACTTGTGTGACATCGGCGCCCAGAGCAAAAGTAGCGACAATAGCAACACCAAAACGGAAAAGGGCAACAACCTCAACAAGACGGCATCGGCAAAACAAGAGGACAGCATTGGGGACGCCGTAGAACACGCCGGGTTGGCTGAGGGCAGTAGCAAGCCAAAGGGACAGAGGCGCGCGACACGGTCGGCGAAAGCTGCCAAGGAGGCAAAAGAAGCCGACGGGGCTGTGTGGTCGGAGAAGCAGCTGACCTCCCTAGTTTGGGCTCTAGGACACACAAACCAGGACGTCCTGACCTACACCGCCTGGACAATGTGAGTTGACACACAATTAAGAACATGTTTTGAACTTCGGCTGATGTGGTTGATCCACAGCAGCCAGTGTTTGCGTCGTTCGGTGGACACAGCGAAGTGCAGTGGGGCAATCGTTGCGAGGACGAATAATTGCCCTTGGTCAATTATGAGGACTAGACAACGGTAGTGTTGCATGGAGTCGATGCTTTGTCCGTTTCGAGGAGAGACATCCGCTGTCAAGCCAGTGTTTGTAGCTGAAGACAACAAACAGCTCCAGGCGAACACTGTACACCCGCCCCTTCTAGTCTCAAGGTTGAACTTAATCTGAGAATTAACCTTGGCCATGATCTTATCGGTACCGGACAGCTGGTTGCTGGCTCGGCGGCGAAAAAACAGGGTCTCGCTCGGTCGGCTTTGGGCCCTTGACGGACTCGTGCACGTCTTGCGATCGAACGCCAGATTGGACGTCAAGGAAGGGTGAGAGAATATACACAAGAGCGCAATAGAGCATGGCATGAGAGCAGACAAGAGCAAATCATAGCAACACTCCAAGTACACCCCCGCTTGGACGCGTGCTAAGAGGAATCCTCTGAACGCGCCTGTATATTTGCACACATGGCGTTCTGTGTCCTTGAGCAAGGGTCACGAAAGACTTCTGTAGTAAATATTGCTCAAGCAGCACATGAGAGCATATGGACCCGTGTCGCGTCCGGAGGACTGCCTGCTTCGGGTATATGGCTCGGCAAGGATGGGGTTGATGCACAGAAACGAAAATCTCAAAAGGAGTACTGGTTGCCCGAACGTTCCGCTGCGACTCTGTAGCTAACTCGTGCAGCTCGTACAGCCTTTGAAGCGGATGATATTCGTCGGTACATTGTATAACTTTTCCTTCCCCCTGTGGTTCATTTCGAACAAACTGGCATATAGGGTACTGGCGGCCATCTGGCTCCTTGCGTGCGACACGGACAACACGGTCAGACTTGCCATGAACGGTGGCCTGCAACTTTTGGTGGTATGTCTAAGAGTAAATGCGAGTCCATTTCTTCCTTGTCCACTTTGCTCTGATCTCCCCTCCTCGCACAGCCTTTGTTTGCAACTGCATGTATCTACGCTTGACCCGTTTTGCAATGTTGTACATTGTGCACGCACAGTTGCCAGGGGTGCGAGCTCATTGCCTAATAATTTCTATCTTCCCATCTCCCAGTACGACACGACACCGAAACTCGCAAAAAACTGTCTGCTTGCTACAACGACCGTTGCTACACCCATTCATGACGAACGTTGCAGCATTTGCCTCGGCACACCGAAGGCTGGAATGAAACATGAGCACTATGTTTCCGGTCCTACATTCCCAACCTCACCGTTTAGCCCGTCTGGTGTCAACCCGTCAACCGGCCGATCGATCCATCCTTTCCGGTTCCACCGTCACACACCATTAACCATTGCCACAGGGGATTTTGAACTTTCCGTCCAGCGCATGCTACGTGCCGCTCAAGTCGCTGGCGGTGGGCACCTTGTGCAAGCTGTGCCACACCGAGCCGGACGTGGCCATGCTCGCGATGCACCTCAGCATCGCCTCCGCGCTGCTGCGGGCAGTGTACGATTGTACAAGTACCGTCTACCTCAAGGTTTGTCAATGCTACCAAGATCAAAATTGTCTCGATATATTTTTTTGGCAACCACGGGACTCCCAGTTCCACGTCGGTGGAGGTGTGTGCAGAGCTGCTGTGCACATTACTACTTGTTTTGGAACTTTACATAGAGGGCGGCAGAACAAACGACGAGATTGCGCAGTTCGGTTTCTACGAGATTGATGTGTTGTGTATTGTGCATGCTTTTTGCTATCCGCTGAAAGACGAAAAGGAAGATTAAGATGAAGACAATGGTGGAGTAGATCACGACGTTCTTCGATTCGACTCCTTCCTCGGTAAGAAGCTGCTTGAATAAGTTTGTGCATCCGTACACAACCAGCAAGCTTATCAGCTAAGGCCGGTGCCATTTATCGCTGTTGGCGTGAGAAGGAAGTCAGGCTCATCTATGCTCAGCTCAACTACTGGGTCGTAACTGACGTGACACACTTGGATATGTACCACTTGTGTGGATTGAGATCGTTGAAATGCCTTCGAAAAGCGTGGCGGGTTCGAGAAGTTCGGTCGCGCGGTCGTCGTTCACCCTGGCGTCGAGATAAAGTAGCTCATATCCCACACACACTATTGATGTACCGTGGGTCTAGTTTCGGGAGCGTCCTGCTTGAAAACCCAAGGCAAATGCATCTGATACGTGTCCGTTGAATGGCATTGAAAAACGACTACAACGGCATGACCTTGGGCAGTTTGGAAGCAAGCCGGAGTTGTATTAAGCTTGATTCTTATCACTTCGAGGAACTATTTCTAAAAGTGACTTGGAGAAAGTGCTTTTGAAAGGGTTTTGAAACGGGGCCGAGGGAAGAACGTGAGAGACTGGTTGTCCACACCGTACTCCTTTTTTTAGGTCTTTGTGCCGTGGACCATTGTCGTCCGTTCTTACATGCCCCACTTACTTTTGAACCCGCACCGCTATCCTTGTTTGTTCGGCAGGTGTTGTCTGCCGGTTTGATGTTCACGCTGTGCAGGAATCCTGAACACAAGAAAAATCGCGCGGACTATGTAAAACAGTTCGCCACAGAAGGGTGAGAATGACAGAATCGGATAGACAGTAACAGGGGTAGACTTCGATGATATTGGCGGAGACATTGTGACCCGTTCCCGTCGTGGAATTCCCGTGTGCCAGACTCGGCGTAGCACAATAAACACGCATAAACTGTACGCCGTGCTATCCTGCTGGCCCTGAGCCGGCAATAACCCTCGAAATGACTGTTCGAACAAACCCAAGAACATCGACCTTAAAACACCTGGAGTTGGCGCACCAACGTCTTTAGAGCTTGGTGACAGGGAAGCATGTGCACTGATTCGAAACCGGAGTGGAATGTAGTGCCTGCCATCATCGCCTTGTACCTCGCAACCATCGTGGTCATTGCCTTGTTTGTCGTTGCTTTTGCGCAGGGGACCGTTTGTTCTTGAAGATGTATGCGCTGGCTTCTTGGCTTCTGGTACTTCCGAGCTCCAGGTGCATTGGCCATCCACTTTGGTCGAGTCCAAGTCGGGCTATGGTTTAACGCTTGCGGTTCAAAACAAACAACATGGTTATCGTGTTACGTGGGTCATCTGTTATTGTTTGTCCTCGCGTGACGTCTCCGAAGGAACGATCCGAACGATCGCTCCTGTTTATCAAAATCGCTAGAAGTCTCCCCCACAAACAAAGCTCGCTACCGAAGATTGACGAGTGATTTGGCTGAGCTTGCAAAGTTGGTAGAGAACAGTGTACACAGAACCAACTTGCTGGTTCGCGACCTCCAGCAGCATCATGATATGGTGTGTACACAGGCATACACGGAAATTCCGCAGTTTGCTGCCTCGTTGGTCCGACTTTCAGGAATACACTTGAGTAAACAGTCGATCACCCAGAGTGGGTGGACTCATGCTTCTCCACTGCCAATGCACCAGCAACATGTATTTTCTACTTCATCTGAGAACACCCGCCTGCTGATCCGCCCTACGCGAGCATTGCCGTTTCACTCCAAACACGACCGAAAGCAAATTATCCGCAAAAACGATAACACTATCGAACGAACGACCAAACAGGCCTGCGGGTCTTTCTTGGCGGCGTCGTTGTCATTGCGGGCAAGGTCCCGCAACCGGCTTCATGATAACGGTGGCATGGAGGCGCTGTGTCGCTTGGTCCGTGCGACGAGCACGAAGGAACCCTTGAGAGTCCGTTCGCTGCACGCGCTCCTGAACCTCTCCACAGAAACAGGGTGAGAGCACAGCAGATCACAACAAAAGAGGGAAGGCCTTTTTGCTGGAATTGGTTGAAGGAGGGATGGGGAGGTACCCGTAGGGTCCTTGAATGAGGGGTGGGGGGTGTTCCAAGCTTCCATCAAACACTACTGGGTTATGATAGAATCAATAAATTTTAAGGTTTAAAAAGGAGATTTCGAATGGTCGCCGAGTGCTAGGTTCACACCAGTTTTTAAATTACACGCAAGTACCTCGAGCGAACAAAGAAAACATGAATCAAGGGCTCGTGTGGGTTATATGGACTAGCGCCGTGTCTTTCCAAGAGAGACGGAAGCACCTCGTTTTCGACATATCTATCAACGTATGGACTACTTTACTCCATTGCACCAGCGTGCTTGCCTGTTCCGAATTGAAAGACGATTCTTAGAGCAAACACCCTCACAACCATCGATCGATCACGTCTTGATGTACTCTATGTCCTTATAATGTTGTCTGTTCGGTTCAGCTGCCAGCCGTCTATCTGTCGGTGGGCGCTCCAACCGCTGGTTGAGTTGACAGGCTCGAGCGCGCCGCCACAGTCAGAGTTCGCCTCGAGCATCCTCAGCAACTGCGCCGAAAACCCGTGTTGCCGAGCAATAATGTTCGAGGGACAGGTGGGATGTTCGTGTTTGTGCCCGTGTTTATTTGCTTGCGTCGAAGGTTAGAATATATTGTTGGTTTTAGCGTGGTACTCTTGCAGGGGTCGGGACCACGATCACGGCGGAGAACTTGTTTTGATTTCAAGGAATTAGACTACCTTCGGCAGAGTTTCACCAAAACTGCACGGTCATCAGGGTATTGTTGTTGTTGTTGTTGTTGTTGTTGTCTTCACATTAAACCGTATGTCAATTGCTAAATGCCAAAATCTAGCAAAGACTCTCAGCCCGTGGTCACGAAAGTGCTAGAGCCATCTGAGGATCTAAAGAACACGCACACATATGACGAGAAAAAGGTGTCCAAGAGCCCGAAGAGGTACACCTAAAAATTCCTGCAGCACCGTATGCGTTCCCAAAAACTGAACTGCACGTCCGTCCCACCGTTCAACCACAGTAGCATCACCCCCTCCCTGTCCCACTCTATACCAAAACGGAAGATTGCCGACTACAGCATACTGCTGTCTGAAGTGCTGTCTGTACAAAAACACCATGGTAGGCATGGAACAAGCAGCTGGCGGGGCACAAAGCTGCTGTCTGAAGTGCTGTCAGAATGTGTCTGCGGCCGTACAGTGAAAAAGAACAACCAACCAAAGCCATGATTGCAATGGACAATCACCCGAACCTCTCCCGATCGTCTGTGTTAGGCACGCAGTGAAAATATCGACAATATCTAAGAAGCGTTCCACATTGAAGGGGTCTTCCACGATCAGACACAAAACCAAGGCACCCGGGTTAGCCACGCCATCTCTGACGGGTCTCTCTACAAAACCAGTGACGACGTCATCACATAGAACCAACACCGAAAATCAGGAAAAAAACGAGAAAAATTGACAACACAGATCAGATACAAATGTTTGTCCGTGCGCCACGGGTCGATGTCGCCCGCATGCTCCGGTGCCGCTGCTCCGTCCGGCGCCGCTGTAGTCAGCCCGAGCATAACGCCACTCGACCTGCTCCGTCCGTACACGCTCCCGTTGCTGTCCTTCCCAGTCGGTTCCTCGCTTTCTCCCTCGTTGCACTCAAGGTTCTTGGTCTGAAAAACATCAAAATTCTCGCGCCGAATGGTCAACCAGCCCAGTTCAGCTCGTCGC